GTGCCACAAAAGTGCCACAAATACTGCCTAAACAAAATACTGATTTTGTGCACTTTATTTACTGTACCAATATTTTAAATTGGCCTTTGAACTTAGCTTTATTGCATGGCAAAAAAAGTGTTACCTTGCCAAAGCACTGACAGAGCCCACTGATCTAATGGTGTTGCTGAGCGCTCCAAATGCAATCTTTGCATGCAACAATCAGGCAGCAATTGACAGCACTCTGATCTAGTGGCATACAGGCATCGTCAGATTGACAGTACTCTAGCCCAATAATGTTGGGGGATCCAGTGGGGGCGGCAGTCATATTTCAGAGTGACCGTGCCACTCTTTATCACAACCCTGCTAAAAGTGCCAGTACGTGCGCTTATTGGCGCCCCTTCAGCTGGTGGCACCCTAGGCGACCGCCTAGCTCGCCTATGCCTAGAAACGACCCTGCATACAGACATACTTCTAGGAATTGATTGGGACACACTGATAAAAGATTACAAATGAACGTCTTTAATTTTGATTGGAACATTCCAAATTAGCAGTAGATAATGAAAGATAAAAAAAAATAAAAAACACAATGTGCAACAATGACTCTTGCAGAATGAAACCAGTAACATAAAAATGCACACATAAATTAGCTTTTATGTTTTATGTTTTTTTTATGTTTAAAGCAATGTGATTATGATATGCTATAAATGAATGTTTAATAGACCTGATAAGAGCAGAAGAGTTCCCCACAATGAACATTATTGATTCACTAATGATTTCTGCCAATGAAAATGATCAATATTTGTGTTCTATCAGTATTAACCAGAGCATTATGTCGATTGTTTGCTCTCGCAGGCTCTGCTCCTCTGAGATCGTACCCTCTCCTGTCTGTGATCACACACCAGCAGCCCAGCAGCCTCCCACAGATCTCTCAGCTGTCTCCTCACCTGCCCCTTCTGTCACCCCAGCACCCGTTCACTTCCGAGCCCACAGCCAGCGAGACACCCGTCAGCATCAGCAGCGAATCAGAGACGGAGCACAGCACCCCGCGGCTGAAGAAACCCCGCCGCAGCCGCACCATCTTCACTGAGCTGCAGCTGCTGGGCCTGGAGAAGAAGTTCCAGAAACAGAAATATCTCTCCACTCCAGACAGGTCAGTGGTTGATGCGGAACCATCGCATCGCTGTGATTGCTCAGTCGAAAGGAATTTTACACGTGATCTTTTTAAGGCCAGTATTTGTGCTTCAGAAATGGTCAAAGTTATACTGGAAATATGTTAGTCACAAACATTTTATTTATTTATTTATTTGTTTAGGTATACATTTCTGGATGCAAAAAAAAATTATATAAAAAAACAATTAAAGTATAAAATAATTTGCATTAATAATAACAATAATAATAATAATAATAATAATAATGTGGGACAGACTGGAATATAACATGCAATGATAAATCTTGCACTATGAAACCAGTAACGTTAAAAAGTACACAGGATGTTGATTTTAAGAAAACAGAATATTTATAATGCTATCTATATATGAAACCATAAATGCAAATAATTCTAAATGCATATTGAACCTGAAATAAACACTAATAATAATAAGCAAATCACTGTTAGCCAAACTATTACATGGCTCTGAGTGTTGTCGTTAACGACAGTAACATTTTAACCATGCTTTGAATTGCAAAAGAAGCCTTTAAAAGAAACACTACCCCATTCAAGACAACAGGGACACAAGCCAAGAACAGCAAACACAAATGTATAACATTGATTCCATGCCAATCATTTAAAGCACACGCAGGTGTATTTAAAAAAACTTTGGGGCTTTGTACAATGAGATGAGGTAATCTACGTGTCGTAGGTCTTCTCTCATGGGATAATTTTTCGGCCTTAACACAGTTTCCATTTCAGTTTGGCTCTGCGTTTAGATTTGGATGGAGTGGATGTGTTTCCATTATAGCCCAAAGGGTGTATTTGAGTAAAAATCCCACAAAATCAGTTCTGTCCCACCTACAATGATTCAGAGCTTGTCTGCCACACACACACACACACACACATTCTCTGAATTGTTGGTCAGACACAGCCTAAGGACAGATCCAGCAAAGGAGCTGTCAGACATAATTGTCTTAAAACTGCCACCAGACGTAACAGCGAGACTTCCTCTTACTCATTCAACTTTTATTCATTCCTTTTAAGAATAAAGATGTTGCTTCTGACTCAAAGTGACTGTGTGTGTGTGTATCCGTGTGTGTGTTTTAAATGCAAACACATTAATAAGTATATACAATATGTATAAATAGATACTTTAATTGTTTATTTTGCTATTTATTTATCATGGACAATAGCTGATTTGATTATCAATGTAAATGTAAACTTTCATTGTTGTTGTTTTTCTGTCTTTACAATAAAACTGGCAATCTGGAATTCCCCATGCTTTAAATCAAATTGTAATATATTAAATAATAATAATAATAATAATAATAATAATAATAATAATAAATAATATGCAATAAATAAAATAAAATCAGATTTTAAATGCTGAATGTGAAGGGCATTTTTTCTAGATATAGCACTATAGAACATATTGATTAATAATAATATAAATAATAATAATAATAATATGTAATAAATAAAATAATCATGTCAAAATGAAATCAGCTTTAACAGTGCTCAATGTGAAGGGATTTTTTTTCTAGATGTTGCAATATAGAGGAGTAATGATTCATATTATTATGTTTTAATTGCAGTATATTGAAAATAATATAAAAAACAAACAGGCTGATATTAATTTCATTATGCGCTAAATCAGACTTATAATGACTTATAATGAAATAAACCTATGACTGATCCTGATATAGTTACCAACATATTATCCATCCCTAATTTATTAGAGAAAGTCATTTACTCAGTAATTACAAACCCAAACCCGACACAAACATGCAAAGCTACACATGAGAAGCTGGCCTGTTTGCTGGTTCCTGTCGGGGTCGGTCAGTTGGCCAGCCGTTCTCTGTGGCGGTTTTGGCTGAAGGCTGCTGAGTTCATAGAAAGGTCATGATTACTCTCTCTCTATCATCACGGCCTGCTGCTCTGCCTCAGGAATCAACTCATTAATTCATGGCTGAATGAGGAACAAGTGAGGGAAACTCCTCATCTCCTGGCAAGTTTGAGAAATGGGCCTCAAAGTGCCTCAGGTTGGTCTTCTATCAATCTCAAAGACGACCTAGGCCACACAATTAGAACATGAAAGCATTGAAAAACATGTCGCAATATGGAGCATAATGATTTATATCATGACGTTTTAATGTTTTATTTTTTATGAGGTAGAGATGATTATAATCATCTTCATCATCATTATGAATAAATGTCAGAACCCAAACTGAGCTTAAATTAGGCTCATAGTTGCAAGGAACGTGCCGGCGTTGGAATGCAGCGCGTGTGTGTGTGTGTGTGTGTGTGTGTGTGTGTATGTGTGTGTGGTTTCTCTCTGAAGAATAATAAGCACAAACACTGAGCTGCTTTTCTTACCACCAGCTACTGCACATAAAGCAGATTCAAATGACAGACAGCTAGATTGGTGATGTTTAAAAAAAACAAAAAACAACAACACTCATTTTCCTCACCACTTGTAGTCATACGTTTTGCTTAAACATAATCCACTATGATATGACAGATATGACACTTAGCAAATAAACAAATACATATTTCACGTTTTACTCTGTCATTTTACAAAGACGGGTTACGTCTTGTCATTTTACGATTTCTTTTTCTTTTTTTTAGCCGCAGTAAAAGTACTACAAATACAGTAGTGTTTCTTTGTGAATAGTGTGAAAACACATGGTGCAAAATTTAAAGGACGTTACATTAATTTTTAAATTTTCATGGAAATATTTCTAAAGAATGATCATTAATAAAATAATTAAAATTATATATTTATATTAATTATATATTATTATGTTTTATATATATCAAATAATAATAATAATAATGACAATAATAATAATAATAATAATAATAATGCATTTGTAGATTATTTAAATTTATATAAATTTACAGTTATAATACCTATGCCCACTATAATATATTTTTATGCACAATGTTTTTAAATATTAAAAGAGACCACACAATGATACATAAAGCTGTGTAGGAAATCAAAATTCAGTGCAATTACCCAATCAAAACTGTTATAAACAAGATGTGATCTGATACTCTACCATGGTACCGCCACAGTACTATTTTACCAGGACATTAACCTTCATCCAATGGAAAAACTCTTGTGTCGTCCACAACTTAGAAGAAAAGAGAGGACAAGTAGAGAATAGACAGATAAAGAGGAGGAGACGGGGAAAGACTGAAGTCAAGGGCTTTTGAGAGCAAGTGTTAATCTGCTCATTTCCAGAAGATCACTGCACCTCACAGTCACATGACTCTCTGAGAGGCTCAAGGCGAGGAGGTGCGTAATCCTGCTTGGCTGCTGTGAGCCACTTTGAAATTAGACGGAGCAGAAATCTCTGCACTTTTTTGATATCTGGATCTCCCTTGCCCTCAAATCCCATCTTGCATGTCCTCTATCACGTTACAGCAGATCAATCGCTGCATTAGTCATGCGCTGCCTGCCGAAGTGCTCCGAAACGAACCTCTGTTGCCTTCGGGCAGGTCAGGAGCTCCATGACTGGATTACCTTATTCCACGGAAGGTCTGCTGTTACATTCGGCCTGGGAAGACTCTTCGGTTCACAGCTTGGCAAACTCTTTGGATAAGTCATGCCAGCTTTGGAGATTTTGTAGTGATTCGATATACATCTGGCCACCCACTGGTTTAATGCTTAAGACAACAGGTGACTTTGGGATTTCAGTCAATTACTTTCAGTTCTGAAGTTTCCTGCCATCCCTACAGTCATTCTTGTCATTTGCTTTGGGTTTTTTTTTTTTCGGGTCAGAACGCCATTCGTAGGCTCCGCTCCTAAACCTGAGTCACTACTGCCTACATAGCTTCATAATAGTCCTCAGAAGATCCTCAGAAGTGTCTGATTTGGGATCACATATTATAATATTTGCTCCACATAGGAATAATATGCAATTTATTAAGCAAAATTAACCCCCTGTGATTGAATCTCAGGGACATTTTGTATTTATTTTTTTATTTTTATTTTGGTATCCGTGTTATGTCAAATACTTCAGTAAAAAAACAAAAACAAAAAAAAAACCTCCCAGTCTGGGGTGCGTTTCCCAAAAGCAACTATATGGTCGCAAGTTCCGTCATTACCAATAGAGTTCAATGGAACTTGCGACCATAGTTGCTTTTGGGAAATGCAACCCTGAAAAATTCTGGCTGATATCTAGGAGGAAAATATATATATAACTCATATCATATATTTATTTATATATATATATAATTTATTTAAAACTTTTTATTTATTTATTATTATTACTTATTTTATTTTTAATCAAAATCACTTGATATTAGCTTCATATTAAGCATTTCTTTATTTATTTTATTTTTAATCAAAATAACTTTAGCTTCAATAACATTAAAAGACATAACAAACCAAGCAATTTACTACTCCATAATATTCCATATTCCAATCATTTGGAGCATTTTTTTGGCTGAGCCCTGGTTGGTTTTTGACTTCATACACTTGATATTTAGGCAGCAACTATGCATGTTATAGAAACAGCACTCCTTGAAAGACTCACAATTTAATTTAATAGAGGTGATGCAATACGAATAATACAATAGTCTAAAATTAAAGGTTCATATATTTCCCCACATTTATTTGTTTGTTTGAATTTGGCCAAAATGTGTATCATAGAATGTAGCATACTAGTCTTACTTTTGGAAACACTTTTTGTCAGGATCACACCTAAAATGATGCCTTAAAATACACCATCCGTAGGCAACTCACTAGGTTTTATAACCTTTCATTTGATTTCTGCAATTTTTTATGAACTCGTGCTTTTATTGCATGTGTGTGCAGATTGGACCTGGCTCAGTCTCTGGGACTCACACAGCTCCAGGTGAAGACATGGTACCAGAACAGACGCATGAAATGGAAGAAAATGGTGAGTCAGAAGAGCTCGCATCAAGGCTAACGCCACAAGGATCGTCTTCCTTACGAGTCTAGCTCGTTAGAATACTGTCATCTTGTATCAATACAACATCTGTGTTGAAAATGCTTTGCGTGTGGAAATGGAAACTCTGAGACATATCATTAAAAATCCATTAGACAGTTTAGAGCTGCCCTCCTAAACACTCAATACAATCAGTGGGTGTACCAGCCGAAGAACCCCCCGGCTGCTGGTTGCGCGAGTGACGATTTAAAGGACAGTACAGGTCTACGTCAGCGCGATCAACCTCTCAAGCAGGAACAAAAGATCAACAGACTGTTCACCTCTGAGATAAAGAGGCGCAAACGGCCAGCCCATATGGCTATATATCTTCCCTTAATCACTGTAATTACCATCTTCACCTTTGACTAGGCCCACATTTTTCACAGCTCATGTGTGTTCATGTTTCTCTAGGTGCTAAAAGGAGGACACGAGGCTCCTACCAAGCCCAAAGGACGACCTAAGAAGAACTCCATCCCAAGCACAGAGGAGATCGAGGCCCAGGAACGGCTGACGGCCAAACTAGTGGAGGAGGAGAGGCTACAAGCCGGAGTGGAAGAAGAGGTCTTCCAATCTCAACCTCAAGATCTCAGTACATCCGCTACGTCCGAGTCCATCTGTCCAGAAACCCCGGCGCAAGAACAGGCCCCTCTGTCTCCGTCAGAAGCAATGACGACTAGCTAAACGCAGCCGTGCTGATGCACAACCAAAGACAGCTACTGAAAGACTTTGATGCTCCATGGACTTGAGCAGTTGAACGGCTCCCCAAGCCTGATTTTGAGTTGACAGTGGCCCCAAAAAGTATAGCGGTACTTTAGACACACAAATATGTGTGAATGTCATTGCAAAACAACAAAACATCAAACCAAGTGGCTTGCATAACCAAAACAGAGAGAATAATTGCACACTTCTCAGGCGAATCATTTCACAAAAATACGCTTCTTTAGGTTTTAAAAGATTAAACAGCTGGACACTGTATTTGGACGCATTCTGGTTGTCAAACTGTGGATCACGTTCATACCCGGCCAACAAAAACATGTTCTAGGAACGTTCCCATTAAGTTAAGCTATGTTCTCTGAACGTTCTGAATGTCCAGATTTTAAAATGTTTTAAAGGTCCCCTGAAATGCTTAGAAACTTGCAGCGTTACTCTATGTGTTGACGTCATTTTAATCGAAACAGGAAGACAGGGCGAGACATATCAAGCAGCCCCGCCCATTTTTAAAATAGCCAATAGCGTTAGTTTATATCACAGCTTGGGCTAGAGCCGGTCAGAGCCATTGAGCTCCATAAAGCCGCATTTGACAGGGTATGCCAGCCACAATCTCATCCATATTGCTATAAAATATAGCATTCTGTGTAGAATTCAAATAGCTCCGATACATTCTGTGGTCTGCTCCGACTCGCGCATGTGATCCGCTCCTTGCTATCGTGTCTCTGGACCAGAGCAGAGTGCGGTGGTTAGTGTGACACAGCGCGAAACCAGACTTCTTTTTTTCCTCAATGGAAAGCATATTTACACTGTTTGAATCGTTCCCTGTCCCCTATATAGTGCACTACGTGCCATTCACTGTACAGAAAATACTAATTCTGTGGACAAGTGACCGATTTCAGCCGTGGCTTCAGCATCTATTTTATAGTGTAGGTGGCGGGCGCTTCGGATTCTAGAGAGCATTTGATTGGACAGAAAGTTTGATGAGAAGCTGAAGTACGATGTGACGTCAAAAAAATCGTTGAGCCGTTTTGGCGGAAGTGACGAACTGCAAGCTTTGAATGCTTATATCTTCTAAATGCGAATTTTGTCACTGTTTTGGAGCACACTGCCTTATAGATGACTAACATATTGATACTAACACCCAAAAAGCTTTACTTTTGATTTCATGGGGACTTTAAAAACGTCTGTTCTTGGTTATTTGAATGTTAGGAGAACATTCCATTTTATCACTGTGCAACCATTTTGGGAATGTTACTTCTGAATGTCCTCTGAACGTTCAAAGTAGTAACATTTAAAAAAACGTTAGACGAACGTCCAACTGAAACGTTTCAGAAAAAAGGTCCATGAACAATGTATGGATATTGTTTTATGCTAACGTTGTAAGAACATTATTAAAGGGATAGTTCACCCAAAAATGAAAACTCTGTCATCATTGACGTTCCAAACCTGTATGACTTTCTCGTTTCTGCTGAACACAAAATAACCTATTTTAAAGAATGTTGAAGCCAGTGTCTGGTCCCCCTTTGTTTTCATACTATAAAAGACGATGGTGTCGAGCAACTGTTTGGTTACCCACATTCTTCAAGATGTCTTCTTTTGAACACACAAGAAGACATCTTGAAGAATGTGTGTAATCAAAGAATCTCAGGCGGCACCTTTTTCAACTAAAAACATAAAAAAATTGATGTGTTTTGGCCGATGATTTACACGACAACAGCGTTTCGGGAGCCTTCAAATGCAAACGATTTTCAAACGGTTCAAAGTTTTTGAAAACGATAATTGTTCGATAACAATGAATGATTAACAGGCTCAAGATTCGCTTGAACGAGGATCATTTTGACAATTCTGTCGTCTGTATGCGAAACTTTTCAAAAACACAAAAGAAAAAACGTTTTCAGTATTTAGTACAGCACTGTCACGTATAAACATACAGGTTTGGAAGAACTCGAGGTTGAGTAAATGATGACAGCATTTTCATTTTTGGGTGAGCTATTTCTAGACGTAATAACTTTGAGCAAATGTTCTATTAACGTTACCGGAAGAACGTTCCCTTTTAGCTGAGTAGTTCACCTGGGCTTTCTCTGACTTCATACATCCATTAAAAATCCAATTTGTTTGGAGATTTTGTTATCTAATGCAATGACATGTCTGCCTAAGTGTCAAATTACTTTCCACTATACATGGCGATGCAGTGATCAACATTGTAACATTGCTTTACATGTTTCTGTCATGCAGCTGCCTCTCTGAAATGTATTTTATAAAAATTTGAAAGGCATTAACATGCTGCAAGATACGCCAACATATAAAACTTAATCACACAGACTGATTTCTCGCACCAGTACAGCACCTACAAACAGAAAGTGTTCATTCTTTTCTGGGTACGTTCCTCTCTTTCCCTGTAAATATTAGCTGTTTAATTGCGCCTGTAGTTTATGGTGCACCTGTGTACTGTAGCTTGGGATTCTGTGCCAAAACACATATATCTGAGAAACTAAAGTGCCCTTTGAGGTATTTTTTCCCCCTTTTTTTAAACATCCGTGAAGCTGCTGCCATTAAAAGTTAATTGAATGGGTTAGTATGAATACCAGTGTAAACATGTACAGAGTTCTGGATTTTGCATGAGAAAATTATGCTCTTTTTAAAGCAGGATTGTCCAGTTTGGTTTAAAGATTAGCTTTATCCATTCAACATCTCAATGGATAAAGAATCTGTCAGCTTAGTATAGAAAAAGAGCATCGATTTTGAGAAAACATTAAAGGTAATATTGATTTAAGTAAACCTTCCAAAGTGCCCACTCTCTGCCAAACGACAATGTGTTTTCTCTGTTCCTGTTTGCAGAGAAAATTAGTTTCTTTTGTTCGTTTTAATGCGTGGCATAATTCAACTTCATTGTATTTCAACCGAATCCTTTCTTCAAATCACCTTTTTGTGTGTGTATAACCTATGCACGGCCGTTTAGTGCTATTCTTTGAGGCTGAAACACATGATATATGAAATACATGAACAGATGGATCATGCTAGCTATTGTACGTTTCGTCCCATTTCATTCCCGTGGTGTGGCGCAGTATGACACCACTAAGTGCAGGCTGGTTTTATTACTGTAAGAAAAACCACTTAATCTGTCAGGGACGCAAAGCAATTAATAAATCAAACTCGCACTAGTAAAACCTGCGAAAAAAACACAAACGAAAATCTGCGGGACATGTCGAAGCCCGCGGGAGCTCTGCACATGCCTACAGCTGACTGATGGCCCACAAATACATCATCACAGCCTCTATCCTGCATGTCCTAAGCTCAGTTTCCAACCGCTGTTGCCTTTTGCGTAGATCTTATTTGTATAGTTGTTGTTTTCTTGTGTTTGGCTAACAACAAATACTGAAAATATATTCCTTCTTTGATATAAAAACACTATTTTTCTGGTGTACATACTGAATTTTATTGGGTGAGTAGTTATTTTGTATTCTTTTGTTTCTTCGGAGAAGACTATATAAATAGATGTTTGATGAGAATCCCTTTTTCACCCAAACATTCTTTAATTTTTATTGTATGTGTGTGTGTGTGTGTTTGCATATTTAATAACATTGAATAAAGATGCCATTAATTTTGGAGGTCTGATATCATGATTTCTGTTTGATGATTTGCTAGAGACAAAAAAACAAACAAAAAAACAATAATAATAAATATAAAAATGGTGTAGGATTTACTCTGAAATGATCTTCATTTAAAAAATCGCTAGTAAGTTTCACAAATAATTCTAAGAAATAGCTAGTAACACATTAAATTAAATATGAAAATTGAAGTTGAAAGACTGAAATAGTATTTTATTGTAAGCATACTCCAATAATCTTTATTTACAACTTTGCAATATATATATATATATATATTTCAAAATTGCAAATAAAGATTTTTTTTTTTTTTACAGTGAAGGTGTGTCTCAAACAGCTCCCTCATTCAATAGTAAGAAATAATAATGGATTCGGTCATAGACAATATTTTTATAGTTTCAGTGCACAGATTTTCACTCCATAGGAATTCCCAGAATGCAACAGTTTGTAACCACAGTTTGCTATTACATTTCATTCATAATATGCATAAAAGAGAAACCCGTTCCTCTTGCAATCTGATACAGGTATTTCAGTTATTACAGAATTATAAAAGTTTAAAGCGATAGCTTATCCAAAAATGAAAATTCTCTTATCGTTTACCCACCATCATGACGCTGCAGACCCATACATCTTCATTCATCTTCACAACACAAATGAAGACATTGTTTATATTCTCTCGTCATTTTTTGCCCTATGCAAGTCTACATAATCAACATTTCAAATGGTAAACGGGAGCTCAAATGTGCTCAAGTAAGTGTTCGTTTATCAAGTATGCATGTTGAACATTGCAGGACGTGTGTATATTTCTTCATAGCACTGTATTTTGAACATCTGCATATACTGACACCTTGCAATTGTGTTGCAGGAATTCAGTCATCAGCATTCATGTTTTATGAATCAAGACTAGTGGCCAAATGCATGTTCATGATATGCTGACTTACATATGGAACCAGGGAGATAAATTAGACACTCAAAAGACAGTGGAAAGGGTCTTGTTACAGAGGCAAAAAGTCTATGAAAAATGTACTTAGCCATTTTATAGTCCAGGGTCAATTTTAAGACAATAAAAACGTCAATACAAGTGTAATTTACTTTGGTTGTGCCTTACAAAAAGGTAATCATTCATCATTAACTATTACACGTTTATGAGTGATGATTTGTCCTATATGTGTATTTAAAAAAAAAAAAAATCACACATCATCACATTCTTTTCTTTACTTAATTTGGTCTTAAACAAACATGTATGACTATTATAGGCTTATCTTTCTCTCCACACTTCCTTCATGTTGTCCTGTAGTGCACCTCGCTCCTCAATGACCCGCTCAAACAGGTTTGTTCCATCAAGTGCATTTTTGCTAGTTTGTAGCACAGACTGATGAGAGCAAAGGCAATCACCTCGGGCTGTGTGTGTGTTTGTGCATGTGTGAACATATGCACGTGTGTGTTTCTACGTGTGTGTGTGTGTGTGTACGAGGTAAAGGGGTCAGGGTTAAAGGTAGCTTCAAACCTGAGGCAGGGGATTACGGTTGACAGGAAGTTGCAGTGGAAATGTTGATGATTGAAGTGTCACTGATTATCAGTAAAGAGAGAGACACTGTTCAGCTTGAAGTTTTCGGGTCATGTGACACAGTTTGCAGTAGGCGATATGGGTAACACTTTACAATATGGTTCCATTCGTTATCATTATACATTATTTAACAAGAGCTAACAATAAAAAAATGCTAACGCATTTATTAATCTTTGTTAATGGTAATTTCCACATTT